TCTTTAAAAACATCCACCCATAATTCTCCGGATCTCACTGTGATGTCATCAGCACCTCGCCATAAGGTAGCCTCCAATTGGCTGATGACAGCTAATATGCAAAAATTAACTGCAGACATTCTCCTTAAACCACAGGGGGAGGAACGTCCTAATGGGAGGCTGGACTGGTCTACGCTCCTCCACTCACGTGCCTCTTCAAAAACAGCCCAGTGTGTGAATTTAGAGCATCTCTGTGGCAACTGGTCATATCCCCTCCAATAAAGGACTAATGTTTTTTACAAGAGTGTGTCTATTATGAAAAGTGGCAGAATAAGATCTGAGTAGGTCATTGTACTAACAACTTCTTGCCAGAGCCCTTTGGGTTCATATTGTACATTTACATATTAAGCAATATGTGACATAATAATCTTAAAATAATTTACCAAAATATATGGGAAAGAAAATCCTTAGTTTTGTGACCTGCTGAAGTACCACAGGCCTGGATCTAAGGAAGACCTGAATAAAATGGTAGCTTGTACCTTCTCATATACCATCACCAATGGAAAATGTATAATGGATATATTTACATGAGCTTCTTAAGAAAGTGCCTCACTATTGTACCCTTTGGTGGACCTCCAAGGAAAGAATATATTTTGTCAAAAGGTTATGGGGTAAAGCAAAAGGGGACAGGGTCCTTAACACCAGAGGGTCATTTGCCTAAACCAGCCCTTCTCAACCATGGTTCTGTGGAGTTCCTCAATAGTTTGCTAGAGGTTCCTTGAGCTGTGGCTGATTGACCTCCCATTTGATGGTGCCTGACTCCTTCTGGGGCCAGCTCCTATTGTCAGAGCCAGCTCTAGGACACCAATGGTCCTCTATCTAAGGGTAGCATTCTGGTCAACACTGTAAGGACAACATGCTTTCCACTGCCCACCAATGTAAGGGTAATTTTTCCCACTGACACCCAAGGAACTGTTTTCAACATGGGTTAAGTAGGTTGAGAAAAGCTGATCCAAACACTTCAGTGATACAAACCCATCTGATACCCTGACATAGGTAATTCATGATCAAAGAGTTAGCTGAATTGACTTTGCGAAAGGTGACAGCAGCTTGTTTAATAGTGATCTCACTGAACATTACATGTGAGGGTTGAACCTTATCCACTTATTCATTCTGTAGTAGTAGTATTAAGTTAATCCATATGAAACTGGACAGCAAGTATCATTTTGTGGGTGGGATATAAAGTGTCAAATTCTGTAGTAAATTAGCATTCTTTGTGACCTACACTGTGGCTTCTTTATGAACAGAGATGCAGCAGCCAATCAGATCCCAGCTGTAATGGTATGTTAAATGAAAGCAGTAGATCACACAATTTTCTTTTGCTACACTTTTTGTAAGCTTCACGACAATGGTAGGTACCAGGGGCGGACTGACAACTCATGGGGCCCCCGGGCAATGGGGGATCATGGGGCCTCTGTGTCCTCGCCCAAACCCAAAAAAGCCTAGGAAAAAGCCAATGAAAGGTATCAGGGGCATCTCATGGGGCCCCCTACTGAGCCCTGGCCCTCAGGCAGTGCCCAAGTGCTCAAATGGTCAGTCCGCCCCTGGTAGGTACTGTACATTATCAGATGAAGTGACTGTAGCAGACACAAAAGCCATAAAAACGAGGAAGTAATATTCTGATATTCAAAAAAGAGAATGTTACAAATGATGCACATTATAGTAAAGTGTTATGTATAAAGAATGGAAGAGGAAAACCCTATTAATTGAAGCCCAACTGAACATTTAATTTAAATCAGTTCAACACATACCTGGTGCTTCAAAGCAAAAGGTGTACAAAGACTTACAGTTTATTTTATTTAGAAAGCAGCCAGAGTCTGAGTAGGAAAGCCTGTCCTCTGCCAGCAAGCTGCAGCAACGGACCACTGCTCTCTGTGTGGAAGCAGTGGTCTCTCTGCTGAGTCAGAACTAGACTTCTCCAATCAGCAGGGAGTGTGTTTAGACTTCTGCAAAGTGACCACTGCTTTCACGCAGAGAGCAGGGGTTCTTTTCAGAAGAATGTTGGCAAGGGACAGGCTCTTCTACTCAGGCTGTGGCTACTCTCTAAAAAAAAAACCAACTGTAATAACACCTTTTGTTTTGATGGGCCGGAAATGTGTTTTTACTGATTTATACTAAAAGTTCAGCTGGGATTTAAACATAATATTTTCTTTAATAAAAGTTGGCGTCATCAGATCAGGTTTTAATGTTCAAAGTGTAGTAAACTTTAACAACCAATTAGAAGTTACCTTTCACATGTCTGATTATACCAGATGTCCAGAAGCTGATTTGTGATTGGTTGCTGCACATCATTACTCTCTTAAAATGTTAAATACAGTTTTTCGTGTCATGGTAAAGTAAGGGTTAAATAGAGACCGTTCTTGCCTAATAGCAGATTACAATTAATAATACTAACAGCTATGATTTTAAGCAGTAGATTGAAAACGGCAGTACCTTATATGTAAAAGTTTTGTAAAATTTGAATTGAAACATTTTGAGGAAAAATAAATATACTATGTCACTAATATGATTAATTCAGTTTACTTGATGAGCCTCACAGAGCAACCTCAGTCTATTTAAAAATCGGAAAAAAATAAAACACAAAAAAAACAAAACTTGCGGAATACGAGATCTGGTATCTTTGGAGAAGCAGTTAATGTGTGATGCAAGACCTGGCACTTTCTCATGGTTTATGTCGACCACCTCACTGTCTACTGATGATTGACACTCCACCAAACATGCATCAAGCAAGCTGAGCTTTTTTTCTTTTTTGCCTGGTTCAGACCTGATCTGTCATTTAGTGAAGAGGAGTGACTGCGTTCAGGGCCAGAATCAAGATATCAAGATTAAAATCCAAAAGCTAGCCACACAGAGAAATATATAAAACCTTTTTGTGATATAATAAATTCACAAAATAAATTAAAAATCATAAATATATACCAATAAATATAAAATATAAATAAAATAAAGAATACAAAAAAATTCCCCAAATCCAAAATGTCCAATAATAAATCCAAAGATAAATCCCAAAATAAGTCCAAAAACAGTGTCCAAAATTCCAATCTTTTTCCTCCAAATACGAAAGTTGACCTCTATTTCATCCAAAAACGTACCTCAAAAAAAATAAATGTAAATAATCTAGTGCAATTCAATTAATTAAAAGAAATCACCCCGTGCAACTTCACACTTCACTTCTAAATATTTGTGAAAGAAAAAAGAAATTATATATATATATATATATATATATATATATATATATATATAATTAAATTATTCCAATCTTAATTAATTTTTTTATATAGTGCATTTAAACACATCAATCCAAAGTGTACACACTCTGTGATCACTGCAACTCAGTGAATACGATCAACCACCACACAATAGTACTAAATACTATTACCCTCTGTGAGTATTATGAGAGCTCTACAAACATTATGGATCAGTAATCCTCCAAATTCTTCTTTAAGAATATTTTTTCCAAGGTCCTCAGAAAGATATAAAATGGTCTTAGGAGCAATATTCAAAGCATAGGGATAACATTTATTAGTAACTCACATATTAAAACCAGATTATCAGCTCCAAACATGGTTTCTATCTGTTTCCACCAAACATTTCCTCCACCATGTGTTGATAGCCTTAAAAATGGCCGCGGCGACACTTCCGGTCTGCGTACGTGCGTCTTGACGTCACTCCTTTAACGCGTTTCGTCACTTCCGGACTTCATCTGAAAGGATCCATGTGATTTTGTGTTTACGGGTAGGGGGCGCCTGCCCTTCCCTCGCCGCCATTCGCAGCTGCGGCTGTCAATCACCGGGTCCTGGCCGGTGATTACCCACCAGCGCCTGGTGATTACCGAGGATCTCCGACGGGGAGGAGGACTGCTTTTTTTACTAACAGTCCTCCTCCCTGTCGGCTCGTGCACACTGCTTTGGATGGCTGTGCACAGCACAGCCATCCAGAGCAGTGTGATTACAGTGAAGCACACAGACACCGCCGCCTAGTAAAACACTCCCTGCACACAGTTAACCCTTTGATCGCCCCTCATATTAACCCCTTTCTGCCCAGTGCCATTAGTACAGTGTCAGTGCTTTTTTTTTTTTTAGCACAGATCACTGTATTGATGTCACTAGGGATGTCAGTGACACCAAGTCAGTTCCCCCCCAGTGTCAGAATGTCCACCACAGTCCTGCTATATGTTGCTGATCGCTGCCATTGCTAGTAAAAAAAAATAAAATTTCAGTATATATACCGCCATTTGTAAAAACTATAACTTTCACGTAAACCATTTAATTTACACGTATTTGGGAATTTTTTTTTTCGCAAAGACATGTAGCAGAATAGATTGTGTTGCAAATTTATGATGAAATTTGATTTTAAAAAATTTTTTACTGGACATGTTTAACCACTTGCCTACCAGGCACTTATACCCCCTTCCTTACCAGGCCAATTTTCAGCTTTCAGCGCTGCCGCACTTTGATTGACAATTGCGCGGTCATGCAACATTGTACCCATATGAAATTTTGATCATTTTTTTCTCACAAATAGAGCTTTCTTTTGGTGGTATTTAATCGCCACTGGGCGCTTTACTTTTTGCGCTATAAATTAAAAATGTGCAAAAAATTTGAAAAAAAAAAAAAAAAGTTTGTTTCTTTTATAAAATTTTTCAAACAGGTATTTTTTCTCCTTCACTGATTTGCGTTGATGAGGCGGCACTGATGGGCACTGATAGGCGGCACTGATGGGCACTGATAGGCAGCACTAAAGGGCACTGATAGGCAGTACTAATGAGGTGGCACGGATAGGCGGCACTGATAGACAGCACTAATTAGGGGTCACGGATAGGCGGCACTGATATGCAGCACTGATAGGTGGCACTGATAGGTGACACTGATGATGGGTACTGATAGACGGCACTGACTGGCATCACTTCTGGGCACTGACTGGCGGCACTGACTGGCACAACCCCTGGGCACTGACTGGTGGCACTGACTGGCAGCACTGCTGGGCTGCACTGGTGGGTGGCACTGGTGGGCAGCACTGGTGGGTGGGCACAGGTGGGGTGGGCACAGGTGGTGGGCACTGGTGGGTGGGCACAGGTGGGTGGCACTGCTGGGCACATGTAGGTGGCACTTCTGGGCACAGGTAGGTGGCATGCAGAGTGGGCACAGGTGGGTGGCACTGCTGGGGGGGCACAACGGGTGGGCGGGGCTAGTGGCACTTCTGGGCACAGGTATCCCCGCTGGGCACTGCAGAGTGGCACAGTGGTGGGGGCACTGCTGGGCACAGGTGGGGGCACTGCACGGGGTAAAAGGCCGTGGGCGGGGCTAGTGGGCGCACTGCTGGGCGGAACATGCGGGTGCCGATCCCCGCTCTGACAACTGCCGGTTCTCGGCAGTACTTATGACGTCCTCACGATCTGACAGCGTGAGGAAAGTGCAGCCGAGAACCGGCACTTGCATTTCCCTGTTGATCAGCGTGTCATTAGACACCGCTGATCACTGGTAAAAGGCCGGTGGGATCGGCCTTTTTTACATCACGTGATCAGCTGTGTCCGTAGGACACAGCGATCACGGAGATCGCCGGGGGCAAGGGGCGCTTACCCCCTGGGGTCGCGCAGGAAGCGCGTTCTTCAGTGGACGTCATATGACGTCCACTCAGAACTGGCCGGCCCCATAGTGAAGCCGTCATTCGGCTATGCGCGGTCTCCTGGCAAGAATCTGTTAATAGCAAAAAGTCAAAAATATTGGGTTCTCTCTCAAATAGATTGTTGTTTTTTTTTTAGTTTTGTTTTTATATTGCAAAAAAAAACAAAAAAAACCCAAAGGCAATCAAATACCACTGAAAGATGGAAGCTCTATCTGTGGGGGGAAAAAAAGGACAATTTTTATTTGGGTGCAATGTTGCATGACCGCGCAATTGTCAGTTAAAAAGTAACGCAGCTCCATAATGGGGGGGGTAAATCTTCAGGAGGGCACAGGGGTTTTCATAGAAGAAATTGCTATACTTACCCCTTCTTCAGATGCTCTGGTCCTGTCCTCCACTAAACTGTTGGCTTCAGTGTGTAGGCATGTTCAATGTCACTCAGCCAGTCTAAGTTCATGAAAGATCACAACTTTACAGTTGGGATGGAGAGGCAGAGCAGAGTACAGAGTGACTAACAGCCACCAGCTCTCTCGGCTGACTGAAGACCAAGAGCTGAGCGATCAACTGTGTTTGGTCACTCAGTTCTTGGTCTTAGAGCCAGCGGAGGACAGATGAAGCATGAATAGATGCTACATCCACTTAGGTGAGTATGACTGTCTTTTTTTTTTTTTTAATTCACGAACTTCTCTTTTAAAGCGGTAGTAAACTGCAAAAAGAAAACAAAAAAAATCTTCTCTCTGCATAGCAAACTATCTCATTATGAAATACTTACCTGAAAACAAAGCCCTCCAGCAGTGCACTGCCACCACTGACAGGGCTTCCATCTTCACCTGGTCTTCATTCTGGGTTCGCAGACTGTGTCCATTTGACTGGCTGAGCTGCGATGACATCCCTCCAGCGCATCTACGTGGAATTCTCAGCCGGCGCACATCTCTTTCAATGGACAGCATGCCGTTCATTGAGAGTGCAGTGCGCATGAGCTGGTGACACTGATACTGCTAAAGTAAATATCTCCTAAACCGGGCATGTTTAGGAGATATTTACTGCACCTACAGGTAAGCCTTATTATAGGCTTACCTATAGGTATAAATCATTAAAAGGCCTTTGCTAACACTTTAAAGCGATTCTAAAGATTAATTTTTTTTGTAAAATAACAAACATGCTATACTTACCTAGTGTGTGCAGTGGTTTTGCAGAGAGAAGCCTGGATCCTCCTCTTCTTGGGTCCCCCGCAAGCTCTCTTGGCTCCTCCTTTCTGTCAGGTGCCCCCACAGAAAGCAACTTGCTATGGGGGCACCCACTGCTCTGCGTGTCCATTCACCAATGGCTCCCGCTTGCTGTCTCAACCAATGAAGAGGCAGAGACCTGGGACAGCTGAGGCTGGTATTCACATCGCAGGATCGCGATGAGGCTCAGGTAAGTATTAAGGGGGCTGGGGGCACTGCTGCACACAGGTTTTTTACTTCCATGCATAGAATGCATGAAGGTTAAAAACCTTCAGCCTTTACTACCATTTTAAGTATTGTTCATGGAAGTCATGCAGAAGTGAATGAATAAGGAATATGTCAACACAGTCTGCCATGATATTATAACAGAAACTGTTTTTTTCCTGTAAAAGTGTTCCCTGATCTGATGGACTTAAACATTTGTTAGGTTTCTATAGGTTCCTGCACCTTGGAACATCATTTGTGCTACCCTATGAAAAAAAAAACTATTGATTCCAGTGTGCACACTGCCAGTTTCCCACTATACAAGTTTCTTGCATTGACAAGTATTCAGTGGTTAATGAAACTCCGAATGTGTATCTATAAACCCCAACAAGTGCTTTGCTTTGGACTTTTGCATATTAGGCTTCAGCCAGAGTGTGCTTGATTTGGGAAGAAGCTATGAAAGTGGTAGGAGGTGAAACTTGAAACTGAGCCAAGGCACAGATTATGGTACAGTCAATGACTCGTAGGTTTAGGTTCCTAGTGCTGTAGCAAGACTGAATAGTGGACATAGTAGGTCATATGAGAAGAGCACTTGTAAAGTCAGATTATGACAGAGGGCATATGCTGTTTCTTCAAGTTCGGATCATAAACAAGGGATATCAAAAACAGCAACATCTGGGCAACCAAATGTACTATTGCTGTCTTTCTGGAAATCTTAGCATTTAGTCAAAGCAACAGTGAGATCTCCCCCAGGACACACATCTCACTCTGCTCTATCCATATGTAGTACTCACCCCTGAAGGAGCTTTATGATGGGTTGAGGTCCCCTGTTGCTGTGCCCATGATTCTGAAAATAGCACCACACACTCTGACACACCTGGCTGGGTGGGATATATTTAGTGCAATGCCCCTCTAGTAAAAGATAAATAAGAATAGCAATAACACAGCAAGAAATATGTACATACTGTATATACAGTATGTGTCAGGGCTGGGCTCCTGCTACGTAACCAGCAGCTCTTTTCTTTCAGTGCTCAGAAACAGCTCAGCTGTTGGTTAATTACCAGCCACTCGTCTACACAGTGACTCACTTGGATACCATCACCTGCCCCATTAATCCAGCCTACAGTCAGTTCTTTCTGCTATTTTAGCAGCTTAGCTCATTTCCTCCCTGCCTTTGCATGGTCTATGATCTCCAGTGTGTTCCTTACTGTGTTCCTGTGTATAACTCAGTCTGGCTGACATCTCTCCCGGTCCATGTTCCTGATTTTTGGCTCCTGACTATACTGACTTCTGGTTTCTTGACTCTGGCTCATCTGATTTCCTCGCTCTGGTATCCAATTCCTGGCTTCTGTTTTGACTACATTCCTGATCTATGTTATATTTGCTATTTCATTAAGGTGTGATTTTAACTGCACTTTGTCTCCACCTGGTTCATGATTTCTGACAATCTGGCAATAAGTGAACAGCAGAAAAAAATACACTGTAGTGGAAACCCTGAACTAGTGTAGAGAACAACTCCTAATAAACCCTCTACAGGGGCAATCCCAACTAGGGAGTACTATACCACCACTGCAACAGTCCAGCAGGCTATCATATAATCCCCCCTTCTTCTGCTGGTCAGCTCGCTGGGGCCCAATTCTTATGTCAGAGCACTCAGGTTAATTTCTTATTAAGAACTGACATAGGCACAGACTGTTACTTTCAGACAACACAACAGCATGGATTGTTACTTTCAGACAACACAAACGGAGTCACTCTCCCTCTCTACATTGCACCTTTTAGATTAGCCCCAGCATACACAGTTCTTTCCCTTCTCACCATGGCACCAGTGATATCTGCTCCCAGTACACACAGCCCGTTCCGCTCTATCTATGGCACCAGTGATGTCTGCCCCCAGCATACACAGCTTATTTCCTTATAACAACAGCACCAGTAACATTGTCGCCCAGCATACACAGTCCATTCCCCTCTATCCATGGCACCAGAGATTTCTGCCCCCAGCACACACTGCCCATTCCTCTCTATCCATGGCACCAATGAGAATTGTCCTCTGCACACATAGCTCATTCCCCTCTCTCCATGACACAAAAGACTTGGGCACGGTGAAGTGCCCAAAGGATACGGATCGGCCAACATCCCAATACAACAATTTGGAACAAGAGAGAAAATAACCCCCACTGGACCTTCTACATCAGAATCAAAAGTACAACTATATAAAATATCAATCTTTATTCGAAAACTTGATAAGACCAAAATTAGGTCAGTAAAAAACAGTGTTTAAGTTAAATAACCTATGGCAAAGCATACATTATACAGTATATCAAATACAAATACCCTGACATTCTGCAGTACACCAAAAAAAAAAAGAAAAAACTGCCAGAAAAGTCAAGCTTGGTCAGTGTCGGAGGTCAGCAGATGAATCCCGACATGTTACAGAACCAGTGTTTTCTTTTTCAGGGTATTATAGAGATATATTTCAGGTCTCTAATACAATCATAACAATGTATAACAAAAAAACATAAACAAACTATATATCCCATACATAAAATATATCAAAAACAGAAAGCAAAAACAATGCTGGTACCAAATAGCACTTACATTGTAGAATACAAAGCAGGTAAGACTCAAAGAATGATCACATAGGGCTATCTTTTGTTGCCTCCTAGGTGTTGCCTCTAAGGGAGATACACCTCAGCACACCACGCATCCACAGGTGCTGCACAAAAATGAACAAATGGCCATGAAGTAAAAAGGTTCTGAAATAATAATTGGTTAAATATAGTCAAATTTTGAAAATACAAAAGAGAAAATATATAGACTCAGCTAAACAGTCTAAGCAAAAAGGACCCTATACAGTGCCTTGAAAAATGATTCCCCTTGAAATTTACCACATTTTGTCATGTTACAACCGAAAAGGTAAATTTATTTTATTGGGATTTTTTTTTTCTGATAGACCAACACAAAGTGGCACATAATTGTGAAGTGGAAGGAAAATGATAAATGTCTTTAAAAATGTTTGTGCATTTGTATTCAACCCCCCTAAGTCAATACTTTGTAGAACCACATTTTGCTGCAATTACAGCTGCAAGTATTTTTGGGTATGTCTCTACCATTTAGAGAGTGACATTTTTGCCCATTCTTCTTTGCACAATAGCTCAAGCTCTGTCAGTTTGGATGGAGAACGTCTGAACAGCAATTTTCAAGTCTTGCCACAGATTTTCGATTGGACTTAGGTCTGGACTTTGACTGGGCCATTCTAACACATGAATATTGCTTTGATCTAAACCATTCCATTGTAGCTCTGGCTGTATGTTTAGGGTTGTTGTCCTGCTGGAAAGTGAATCTCTACCCCAGTCTGAAGACTTGTGCAGACTAACAGGTTTTCTTCAAAGATTACCCTGTACCCAAACATGACAGGTACCCACTCCCACTTCTGCTGTGATCACCTGGGCGATCAGGAGCGGAAGTTGTTCACCCCCCTCCCTGTAGTCTTCTGGGACAGGTGACAGATCCCAGAAGACTATGGGACCACTCACAGAGTGCAGTGCTACTCGCACATGCGCAGTGGGCAACGCAAGGTGTAACAGCCGGGTGACCACACTGAAGATGTCGGGGACACAGGATAGCCGGTGAAGTTGGCCGGTGTGAAGACACAGAGGGATTGAGGGACAGGTGAGTGTGTTTTTTTTTAAGTCAGCAGCTACAGTTTTTGTAGCTTCTTACTTTTTTTCTTTTTTTAATTTTGACTGGACCTCTGCTTTAAGTAGTGGCAGGACATCACCCCTCCAACCAATAAGATTTCCCCATGAGCAGCAGTCAGGTCACCAAATCAGGCCACCCCAAGCCAAAGGGTGGCCAGATAGCATCCATGTGGAGGTTCCCCTACCCTTCTGGTGAGCAGTGCGACCCCGCCCCTTGTGGGGTGATGGCACATGCACAGAGGGCCACTGTGGCACAATTGACATATGCCCTTTGCACACACAGGCCACTCCCCTCTATCTATGACACCAATGAGATCTGTCCTCTGTGCAGAGAGTGCACTTTCCACAATCCAATACACTGTTACGTGGCATTTGTATCATAAGCATTGCCTTGTTACATTCTGTTATACATGATGCCTCATACCTCTCTGTCATATGCAACCCTTTTTAGCGCTCTGCTGCATGGAGTGCTTCATCCCTCTGTCTTACAGTCTTAGTTTCATGTGCCTTATATGCCTCTGCTACCATCAGAATCTCACTCTTCCATGTTCAACAGAATGCTTTAGGCTTCTTTTATTCGATACTGCCTTTAGTGCCTGATTTTTCTTGCACAGGGCCTTACTCTTCTTGGTCACATACAGTATGGCCTCACGTTTCACTTCTGCACAGAGTGCCTGTCAGAGCTCCCGGGTATGACCAGAGGTGTGTGACTGACGCAGGGAAACGCAGACTTAAGTTAAGTTATAAAACAATTTATTAACGCTAACAATACAAACATAAACGCAGTGCAACACTAAAACATAACACAGTGCAAACGAACCAAACCAAACCACCCACAGATAACAGTACATACAGTGCAAGCGTCGTCAGGCAGGCCGGGTCAATATCAATCGGGCAGGTAGGTACAGGGGGAGCAAGCGGAGAATAGACAGGTCACGAGCAGGGTACAGCAACTAACAGGAAGGTAGGTACAGGGGGTCAGGCAGAGAATGGTCGGGGTCACAAGCCAGGGATCAGAACAGGAGAAGTCAGCAGAGGTCATAATCAAAGCCGGGTCAGGAACAGGAACAGGAGCAGGATGCAGGAACAAGATACAGGGCCCAGGAAAAACACAACACCAAGGCAGAGTCTGCAGGTCTGAATGTCCCTTAAATACACCAGTATAATTAGTTCCAGGTGTTTGACTGGCTGCAAGGTTGAGTTCTCTGATTGCTGGGAGCACCCGCTGGCCAGCCCTGGTACTGCAGCTCACAAGGCAGGTGAGTCCCACTATTGCTGGCCAGTCCATTCCTGACAGTACCCTCCCTCACATTGGGCAGCGGCACACCGGGCAGAGGCACATCGGGCTGGACTCCGGGCAGAGGCACATCGGGCTGGACTCCGGGCAGAGGCACATCGGGCTGGACTCCGGGCAGAGGCACATCGGCTGGACTCCGGGCAGAGGCACATCGGGCTGGACTCCGGGCAGAGGCACATCGGGCTGGACTCCGGGCAGAGGCACATCGGGAGATTACCAGGTGAAGCAGCAGGCACCGGGCCCCCAGGCGGGGCGACAGGCATCGGGCCCCCAGGCGGAGCGGCGGGCGCCGGGCCCCCCCCCAGGCGGAGCGGCGGGCGCCGGACCCTTAGGCGGAGCGACAGGTCTCGGGCCCCCAGGCGGAGCGGCGGGCGCCGGACCCCCAGGCGGAGCGACAGGTCTCGGGCCCCCAGGCAGAGCGGCGGGCGCCGGACCCCCAGGCGGAGCGACAGGGTCTCAGGCCCCCCCAGGCGGAGCGACAGGTCTCAGGCCCCCAGGCGGAGCGGCGGGCGCCGTACCCCCAGGCGGAGCGGCGGGCGCCGGACCCCCAGGCGGGCGGCGGGCGCCGGACCCCCCCAGGCGGAGCGGGCTCTTGGGCCCCCAGGCGGAGCGGCGGGCACCGAGTCACCAGGCACGACAGTGGGCACCGAGTCGTCTGGCAAGACTGCGGGCACCGAGTCGTCTGGCAAGACTGCGGGCACCGAGTCAACTGGCGGAACAGCGGGCATCGAGTCAACTGGCGGAACTGCGGGCACCGAGTCGTCTGGCAAGACTGCGGGCACCGAGTCGTCTGGCAAGACTGCGGGCACCGAGTCATCTGGCAAGACTGCGGGCACCGAGTCAACTGGCGGAGACAGCGGGCACGAGTCAACTGGCGGAACTGCGGGCACCGAGTCGTCTGGCAAGACTGCGGGCACCGAGTCGTCTGGCAAGACTGCGGGCACCGAGTCGTCTGGCAAGACTGCGGGCACCGAGTCGTCTGGCAAGACTGCGGGCACCGAGTCGTCTGGCGGAACAGCGGGCATCGAGTCAACTGGCGGAACAGCGGGCACCGAGTCGTCTGGCAAGACTGCGGGCACCGAGTCGTCTGGCAAGACTGCGGGCACCGAGTCGTCTGGCGGAACAGCGGGCACCGAGTCGTCTGGCAAGAACTGCGGGCACGAGTCGTCTGGCAAGACTGCGGCACCGAGTCGTCTGGCAAGACTGCGGGCACCGAGTCGTCTGGCGGAACAGCGGGCAACGAGTCGTCTGGCGGAACAGCGGGCACCGAGTCGTCTGGCAAGACTGCGGGCACCGAGTCGTCTGGCAAGACTGCGGGCACCGAGTCGTCTGGCAAGACTGCGGGCACCGAGTCGTCTGGCAAGACTGCGGGCACCGAGTCGTCTGGCAAGACTGCGGGCACCGAGTCGTCTGGCGGAAGACTGCGGGCACCGAGTCAACTGGCGGAACAGCGGGCACCGAGTCGTCTGGCAAGACTGCGGGCACCGAGTCGTCTGGCAAGACTGCGGGCACCGAGTCGTCTGGCAAGACTGCGGGCACCGAGTCGTCTGGCAAGACTGCGGGCACCGAGTCGTCTGGCAAGACTGCGGGCACCGAGTCGTCTGGCAAGACTGCGGGCACCGAGTCGTCTGGCGGAACAGCGGGCACGAGTCAACTGGCGGAACAGCGGGCACCGAGTCGTCTGGCAAGACTGCGGGCACCCCAAGTCGTCTGGCAAGACTCTGGCAAGACTGCGGGCACCGAGTCCGAGTCGTCTGGCAAGACTGCGGGCACCGAGTCGTCTGGCAACAGCGGGCACCGAGTCGTCTGGCGGAACAGCGGGCACCGAGTCGTCTGGCGAGAACAGCGGGCACCGAGAGTCAACTGGCAAGACTGCGGGCACCGAGTCGTCTGGCAAGACTGCGGGCACCGAGTCGTCTGGCAAGACTGCGGGCACCGAGTCGTCTGGCAAGACTGCGGGCACCGAGTCGTCTGGCAAGACTGCGGGCACCGAGTCGTCTGGCGGAACAGCGGGCACCGAGTCGTCTGGCGGAACAGCGGGCACCGAGTCGTCTGGCAAGACTGCGGGCACCGAGTCGTCTGGCAAGACTGCGGGCACCGAGTCGTCTGGCAAGACTGCGGGCACCGAGTCGTCTGGCAAGACTGCGGGCACCGAGTCGTCTGGCGGAACAGCGGGCATCGAGTCAACTGGCGGAACAGCGGGGGCACCGAGTCGTCTGGCAAGACTGCGGGCACCGAGTCGTCTGGCAAGACTGCGGGCACCGAGTCGTCTGGCAAGACTGCGGGCACCGAGTCGTCTGGCAAGACTGCGGGCACCGAGTCGTCTGGCAAGACTGCGGGCACCGAGTCGTCTGGCGGAACAGCGGGCACCGAGTCGTCTGGCGGAACAGCGGGCACCGAGTCAACTGGCGGAACAGCGGGCACCGAGTCAACTGGCAAGACTGCGGGCACCGAGTCGTCTGGCAAGACTGCGGGCACCGAGTCGTCTGGCAAGACTGCGGGCACCGAGTCGTCTGGCAAGACTGCGGGCACCGAGTCAACTGGCGGAACAGCGGGCACCGAGAGTCAACTGGCGGACAGCGGGCACCGAGTCGTCTGGCAAGACTGCGGGCACCGAGTCGTCTGGCAAGACTGCGGGCACCGAGTCGTCTGGCAAGACTGCGGGCACCGAGTCGTCTGGCAAGAACAGCGGGCATCGAGTCAACTGGCAACAGCGGGCACCGAGTCGTCAACTGGCGGAACTGCGGGCAAGTCGTCTGGCAAGACTGCGGGCACCGAGTCGTCTGGCAAGACTGCGGGCACCGAGTCGTCTGGCAAGACTGCGGGCACCGAGTCGTCTGGCATTGGATCGTCTGGCTTGACAGCGGGCATCGGGTCACCAGGTATGACAGCGGGGGCACTGGGTCACCAGGCATCAGGTCATTTGGCTCACCAGCGGGCACCGCGTCATCTGGCAAGGCAGTGGGCACCGAGTCACCATGTACGACAGCGGGCTCTGAGTCAATTGGCACGACAGCGGGCACCGGATCAGGTACCGGATCATCTGGATCAACAGCGGGCATCGAGTCAACTGGCCTAATAGGATCATCAGACTGGATCAGTTCATTATGCTGGGTAGAAGCATCCGGCTAAGTAGAGGCATCCGGCTGAGTAGAGGCTTCAGGCTGAGTAGAGGCATCAGGCTGAGTAGAGGCTTTAGGCTGAGTAGAGGCTTCAGGCTGAGTAGAGGCTTCAGGCTGAGTAGAGGCATCAGGCTGAGTAGAGGCATCAGGCTGAGTAGAGGCATCAGGCTGAGTAGAGGCATCAGAGTAGAGGCTGAGCTGAGTAGAGGCATCAGGCTGAGTAGAGGCTTCAGGCTGAGTAGAGGCTTCAGGCTGAGTAGAGGCTTCAGGCTGAGTAGAGGCATCAGGCTGAGTAGAGGCATCAGGCTGAGTAGAGGCATCAGGCTGAGTAGAGGCATCAGGCTGAGAGAGGCATCAGGCATCAGAGGCAGGCTGAACCACGGAAGGCAGGTTCTCAGACGGTAGGCTCACCGGTTTGGATACTGGCAGGATGGTACTGGTTGGAAAGAATTTTCGCTTTTTTCTGGTTTTAACTACTGGGGCACTGCAAGTAAACGCAGGTCTGCAAATGAATGGAGCAGCTGGAGACAGAGAAGAGCTGGAGGATGGAACAGGGGAAGGAACAGTCGCTACAGAGGGCTTCTTTACAGGGTTAAAGGCAGGATAGGTGCAGCGAGTGGGAACAGGGTACTGACATGCGGTAGATAGCCAAGTATACTGGGCTGTAACTGGAGGAGCTGTTGGGAATACAGGAGTAGAGCTTTGAGGAGATAGATTAGAAGCAGGACTGGGTCTTTGTAAGCTGACTGAGGCTGGGTGTAACAAATCTGTCCATGTCTGCAGTATGGGTTGAACAAAGCTGAGCTTACACAAAGCCTGTCTGACCAAAGACTGCACTGCGTTTATACAATCTCTTAGTACCTGTGGTGAACATGTGGAATAACGCTCCAGAAAGTAACCCACATCATCCTCTAATAACCATACCAGGGACTCTACCTGGTCTGCACTAAATGGTGGCAAAAATTCATCCCTGCATTCGGGGGGTACCAGATGAAACCAACTCAGCACAAACCTCAATCAATGGCTGCACCTCAGAGAACTCTGTGCCCTGATCTACTAGAACATGAGCGAGCCGTATACATTCTAGCAGTTCATCCCGGGTATACTCCTTCAGAGTTTGATAAGCATACTCCCTGTCATCAAACACTAGCAGATATAAATACGCAACCTCATCCAGATCCATCCTTCCCATCAACAAACCAAGATGGCTTCCTGTGCAGCCACTTCTGGTCAGGATTGGCCTTGGTGTAATGTCAGAGCTCCCGGGTATGACCAGAGGTGTGTGACTGACGCAGGGAAACGCAGACTTAAGTTAAGTTATAAACAATTTATTAACGCTAACAATACAAACATAAACGCAGTGCAATACTAAAACATAACACAGTGCAAACGAACCAAACCAAACCACCCACAGATAACAGTACATACAGTGCAAGCGTCGTCAGGCAGGCCGGGTCAATATCAATCGGGCAGGTAGGTACAGGGGGAGCAAGCGGAGAATAGTCAGGTCACGAGCAGGGTACAGCAACTAACAGGAAAGGTAGGTACAGGGGGTCAGGCAGAGAATGGTCGGGGTCACAAGCCAGGGATCAGAACAGGAGAAGTCAGCAGAGGTCAGAATCAAGCCGGGTCAGGAACAGGAGCAGGATGCAGGAACAAAGATACAGGGCCCAGGAAAAACACAACACCAAGGCAGAGTCTGCAGGTCTGAATGTCCCTTAAATACACCAGTATAATTAGTTCTAGGTGTTTGACTGGCTGCAAGGTTGAGTCTCTGATTGCTGGGAGCACCCGCTGGCCAGCCCTGGTACTGCAGCTCACAAGGCAGGTGAGTCCCACTATTGCTGGCCAGTCCATTCCTGACAGTGCCCCTAGCCTATTACTTGCTGTACCTCATTCCTCTTTGTTATACACAGTGCCTCATGCCCCTCCTTCATGCTTCTCTCTTACAATCAGTTCAGGACCTCATACCTATCTGTGCCTTTCCTTCTGTTTTACACATAGAGGTATGAGACTTTGCATGTAACACAGTGTACTCTTTTACAAACCATACCCCATATGGCTCAATTTTACCCATAGTGCCTCATGCCTCTGTTTTTTTTGTTTTTTTTTTTACACACAGAGCTTCATATGCCTCTCTTTTACACACAGTGCCCTAAAATAGAATTAAAGGAAAAACTTTTTATTTTGAACCCTTTACATACATCAATGACTACCAACCATGTGTTTACATACATTGTTCACAGCTGTAGCAATTCTTACCTTTGTGAAATGTCTGACACTCTCTGCCCCACCCAGATAGGAATGTAAATGAATCTAAAGTATGGTGGCTTTCTTGAAAGAGGCAGTGATTATTTAATTTATGATTTAGAGCATTAAGACATTCAACATATTAATTTAAAATGAAAATTAAAGTAAAACTTGTGCAAATGTCACACATCCACAACCCCACAAAGCAGCAAAAACTCACCCAAAAAAAGGGAGTAACTATATACAGGTATTGCGCTAAGGGTGAACAACATAAACCAAACAAATATATAAAGTGTACTAAATAAATAGATAATGACAGTCCATACGGGACCCTGAAGTGCTCAAATGTGAAAGATAATTGCAAAACAGTCTCTGTGAATGAAGAAATTCTCTCAAAGTGCAAATAAAAAAAAATGTATTCTTCATTCCAACCAGAAGTCACCCATGTGAGTGCCCATCACCATGTAGGGCAAATTGGAGGCTTACCAGATCACCAGACCCCTTATTACAGGAGGTTGGATTAGGCTCAATGCGAATAAGGCTCCCTCAGGCAGATGGACTATACTGAGACCCACCGCTCCACTCCAACCATTCTGGGTTGGAGATCAGTATTGACTCATAAAAGATAACAAAGAGGTGCCTCTCATAGTGTATTATCTCCAGTAATTTTATTAGAACAAGACAAGATTGCACTTATAACAGCGCTGAAGTAACAGTTATCCATCGCTATGTTTGGGTGTTCCAAGATGGCGGACAACGCAATATGAGAACGGAGGCTCCACCGATGCGTTGCTAGGAGACCACTCTCCACCACTGAGTTTATACAGACAACAGCCAAGCCTTGATGTGAAATTAACCAATTCAGCATTATGGAAACCAGATGAAATATCACTTCCGGGATTAGCAAATGTTAAATGAAGAGCAATGCTAACCAAGCCTCCTTCTGATGGTTAGATATACAATCTCATAAACCAATTGCTAATGTGGCTGCCACGTATCTGATTGGAGACTGAAATGACGAGGTCGGCCTCACTCGTGTCACTAGCCCTGACCCCACTGGAAGTGGAACAGAGGGTGTCTAGGGACCAGGGGGACAAGAGCGCCAGCAGATGTTGTTTGCAGCTCTTGCAGTTGGAGACTTTGGAAGACTGATGAACCTCCGATTCAGGAGCAGTAGTGTTATGCAGCGCTGGTATGGTAGGTCGCCAGGTGTGCACCAGAGCAAGGCAGGAAGCTGGGATGGGAGACAGGAGCAATGTCATAGGAATAGCCGGGGTCATCAACGGGCGGACAGCGAGGTACCAAATCATAAACAAGCCAAAGTCAGGAGCAGAGCCAAAGTCAGGAACCAGTATCAAGCAGGAGAGTAAACAGAGTCAGGTAAGGAACAAGCTGGGTCAGCAACAAGGAAATCACATAGGAACGAGCAGGAAACAGGGAACAGCTGAAGACCAGTCAGCACTCAGCACAGGCAGAGGCAGCTCTTAAATAGTCCGTCTGGCACCAATCTTCACCGTGCATGTGCACGTGCGTGATCGTGAATTTCTGTGCACATGCGCACGTCTATTCACCAGTCGTCTAACGGGAATTCACTTACAGTGGCCAAAAACTAATAATGAAGATTAACACTGTTTCCACATTGAAGAATGCTTTCCTATAATTCACCAATTTGGCAGATTAATAAATTTAAACTATACTAGTGTATATATTAATTCATGTGATATTCCAAATCAATGGTAATGGACAATTAGACCTTATATGCACCAAGGCGCCATCTAGTGATGTCTAATCGCTAAACAAGTGACATGATAAATTAAAATTAGTATAAAAAATACATAAAAAAGAAATTACATTAAACAAAAAAAAAACAATTTAAAAATCACATCACATTTTTTTTTCTCCAAGAGTGGGAGGACGGGAGAGGATAACTTACCCCCCGACAAATAGAAATCCTAATGAGAGGGGCTATGTATACACTGAACCCCCTGGACTCAAAGGAGTTTTCATCAGAGCAACCAAGGCATCATAAGACAAACAGAATGAGGAGAGGTGTCAGAGGGGGGAGGAAACAGTACCCTAAAAAAACAAGAGTATAAAAAGTGAAGGTATTTTCCATTTGAGTTCTAAACAATTGACAGATTCAGACATTTTGATTTTGGATAGGGGTCTCAATTATGTCCCAAATAAAGGCTTGACTAAATATCATGCCTTTATTGACGTACATACATTTATATATAAAATTAACATTAAGAGGTATTTTATTAATAATCCCTATATCTCCAACTCAAATGTTCATACTGTTTTTCAGCATACGGGTCTGAGTAATGCTTCCTTCCTTAACCCTCCAGGTGGGACTGCTTCTTCCATTAAAGTATTTAGGGATGTGGTCCTCCAAAGACCTTGAGGAATTAAAGGTAAAAAAACCCAGGCCCCAATTGAAACTTGAGAGAGGGATTGTCAGGGCGGGGCTGTGGAACGGACAGGTAGGCCTAGTGGCAGGGTAACGCACTGGCTGACGACAACCACCACCAACAGACCGAAGTCCCTCAGGGCGCGGAGTCTAAGTCCCAGGCTGCCCTTCACCAGGGCCCCTGATGGTGGGGATGGACTTGATGCAGTCAGGGACCAGGTCGTGGCCCCCGAGACACCCCGGCTGCGGTAATGGCCGCCGCCAATGGCGTGTAGCTGGTGAGAATGACAATA